AGGTTTTCATTTTATTTATAAAAAGATATGTGATGTTCTTTTTGACAGCTTTGTATGTAGTTATCTCGAACAGCTGCAGTGAAGTTCTGCCTATCTGGACCATTTCCACCACTGGAGAGAATGGCCGTGGTGCATCTGGACTGTCTTTTTCTAACTAGCCATCTGCACACACAGACTGCTTCTCCTGGCTCACACCAGCGATGGCAATCGTGTGCGGGGTGTGTTTGCCTGTCTTACCCACTAGATGAGGAGCTCCAAAGGGGACTGGGCCAGCACCAAAGGGGGCAGCCAGCACATATTTATGGAGAGAAGAGAAGAAAAACAGGAAGGAAGGGAGGGATGGAGGAAGGCAAAGAGGAAGGGTAGGAGAAAGCTAAGGATGGAAAGAAGGAAGAAAGTGAGGGGGAGTTAGAGAGAGGGAAAGAGGAAGGACTGAGCTTGCTATTAGAGTTTCTGTGAGAGAAATGGAACCCTTCTCGGCTGTGGTCTGGATCCCAGCTGCACTTAATGTCTCTCCAGAGTTCAAACCCGTCCTCGCCCCATCCTCATCTCTTGTTCATGTCTCGGTCTTGTTTATACCTTGTCCTCTGCTTGGATGGGCTTCCCCTGTGTTTTGGACACTTCCCACCTGCTGATTCACACCCACCCATTCCCACCCTCTGTGCTTTGGGAGGTTGGCCTCTTCAAGTTGCATCAATGCGCTCCTTTGCCTGGACTTCCAGTTTGGGTCACCCAGTGGGAAGCCCTGGCAGGAGGCTGGCAGGCAGAAGAGGAGGAGGATGTGGAATTCACTCTCCTGGCTCCCTCTGGCAGGTCGTGGTAGGTTTGGAGCTCTTCTACCCTGACAACCACCTCGGCCACCTGGAAGCCCTCGCCACACAGCTCCTCTCTTTGCCCCAGTGGTACTGACTGACTCGGCTGGTTGCCCCAGTCCTGCTCACACTGTTGTAAATAGCCTCGCCTTCAAAATCAACTCTCCTTGATTATTCTGGGGGAAAGTGCCATCTGTATCCTGCCGGGACCCTGACTGAGGCAGGACGTAACTCTCCCTCCCGATGTGGTGCTTGTTCCCAGGTGGCTAACCACACACCTCTTGCAGCTCACGTGTCTTGCTTTTCCAGTTTCTTGTCCCACTGTGTGTCTCTAAAACCAAAGATCAGAGTTTCTTGGGTTTGTCTCTGACTCTTCCAGTAAAGTAGAAGCCCCTTAATCGTGAGGAACATGTCCAATTCATTGCAACATACTCAGTGAGTAGAAGAGAGGCTGGCAGGGTTAGAGATGCCCAGTAAATGCCTGTTAAAGAGGATACAGGACGTTACCATGTGGTTCCCTTGGAATAAGGTATCAGCCATAAGCTGAGTGATGCCATGGTCAATTCCAATAGCACCAAGGCTACTTTCTCCACGAGTGCCAAATCCCAGCTACAGCCTGCTGAGCATGCCACAGGTGATGGGGAGCTCACAACCTGTAGAGAGAGGTCCCCTAGAAAGACCATTCTGACAGGGAATGACATCATGTTACTCAGCTCACAGCTGCCTCTTGTTATGGCAACACCCTGGTCCAGCCATGGCTTAGAATCCACACAGCACAATTCCAAAGAGCGGGGTCTTGGGAGGCTTGAAGAGTACGTGCCCTGGCTTTGTGGTCATGACCTTGTGAGAAATTTTCTCATCCAGGGCAAACATCAAATAGTGCTATGCCATGGTTCCTGATCCCCTCATCAGCCCAGGCCCCTTCTTTGGGCACATGTTCTCTGGCTGCTCTTATCATTGCCTCTTAATAAAGAGCTAGGAGTGCTGGTGTGGCTCATGGAAGCCCTAGGCTGTATCTAATCCTCTCTTTCAGACTCACTCGGCATTTCTTAATCCCAAACTCTCAGGGTGAGTTGGGAAGCACAGACCAAGGACATACTCTGTGGGCTGGCAGACATCAGGGTACTTCTGGAAAGCTGTGCCCTAGCATGTGTTTGGGAGTGAGATATCCTGAGCACTTGTGACCCCAGTCTGATCACCATGGAGTCTTGGCCTGGGATGAGGGGCTTTGGACCCAGTGACAGCTGAGGAGGTTTCCTGGCCTGGAAACAGCTGACGCTGTTCTGATGTCTTCTCCTGTAACTCATGAACTCCTGTGAACATTCTGAGGACCACTAGAAAAAGGATGATGTTAAGTGTGTGGAAGGAAACCGTGCTTCTCTGATGGCCTTTGCAGGCCTGCCCAGCTGCATGACTGGTGGATCTTCATTTACTCAAGGGAACCGCTATGCAGTCATCAGAATGATGGACTTTAATCAAAGCTACTCAAAGTAGGTGGCACAACACTGTTTCTTACTAGCTCATGCTGCAGCAATTACAGAAGGGGAGAGTATGTCTTTAGAAAGATCTGGAGAATTCTGATACTGCCTCAGCATTCTTCAGGGTTTTTTCATTTTATTTCAATTTTGTTGTATATTATAAAAGTTTTGGTTTTATACACAGAGGACAAAACAAAACCAAAGTCGTCCCTCACTATAAATCAAGAAGTATAATTAAAATATCCATGGGGAGGAGGGGAGAGCAAGTACATGGGCATCCTGGGTGGCAAAGAAATTCAACTGCTTATTTAAAATCACCTAGATAATGTCAATCAAATTTTTACTGCCTCTATTTCAGGTTCGTTCCTCTCTCCCTCCCTCCCTTCCACCCTTCTCTCATTCCTTCTTCCCTCTTTCCTTCCGTCCCTTTTTTTTTTTAAGTCACAAAGCAAGTACCTCCCCAAAAACTTCCCATAGGTTTCTCTCTGCACTCCAGAGAGCTGATTCAGCCAGAACCGACACCCCCCAGCCCTGTTAGGAGAGGACACGCTGCCCAGGACACATGGCTTTCCCTGTGAGCAAACAGGCCCTGGGGTGGGGCCAGTTCGCAGTCACTCACAGACGTTCTGGGTGTGCAGGCCCGGGACTCTGGGCCTCCAATGCCCCGCCACCCCAGCTCCGCTGCCCTCGTCCTGACCTGAAACACTCAGCTACTCTCTTCCAAGACTTCCAAACCACCTTCCAGTTACCTTCCCCGGTCACTCTGCCTCTTGTTCCTTGGACTAAAAAACACCCCCCTCCAGTGGGGACCTTGGGTTAAAATTGAAGTTCTCCATCTAATAGCTGAGTGACCTTGGCTAAATCCCTTCATCTTTCTGAATCCTAAATTTCTTTCATCAAAACAGGATTAGGGGTATCCCCCTTCCTGGCACTTGATAGATGCTGAAAAAAACATGTTGCATGAATGACGGAATGAGTGAATAAATGAAGGGATGGACAAATGAGTGAATAAATTCCAGCTACATGTGCCCCTTTGCTCTTCCTCACGCCCACCCTGCCTGGACACAGGGTCATCCTGGGAGTGTAGCTTAGTAGTCCACACTGCATGATTCTTGGGAAACCTGCATTTGTGACTTAGCTGAGGGCATTTCCTGATCCGTGACCTTGACCAAGTCACTTCACGCTTAGGCTCCTCTACTTCCCCATCAGTCAAATGCAAATGCTAACCCCTGTCCTGTCTTCCTTGCCAAATTCTGTCAAAGCCCAAATGAGAGCACAGATGAAAGTGCATCGTGACCTGGAAGGAACTGGCCACACGCTAAGGCTTCTTCACACATGGGCTGTTCACGCCTCTGAGCCAAGGTGAGAGTCCAGGGGCCCGCCTGGTGCCAGGCAAGCTGACGTGCTCTTTGGCTGGCTGCCAGGCACGACATTCTCCTGCCAGCACCGTCATTCCTTTGCATGTAGGTATTTTGTCTGTGCACGAGAGGCCCTTGCTCTTCTGAGAGAGACCTAAAGAGAGGAGTCAGCAGGAAAGCTGCAGAGGTCAGCACATGTGCTGGAGCCATCAGCAAGTCCAGGGTCCTGTGTGCTGGACAGAATGGAAAAGTTCAGCACGAATCGGGGAAAAACAGGAAAGTGGATGCTGACTGCCACTCTGGCTTGGAACTACCTCCTCTGAGGCCCACATCTCATAGAGCTCACCCTCGGATTCACCCTTGCCTGTCCCTTTGGGGTGGCTAGTCAGAGTGGAGAGCTGTGTCGAGCAATAAACAGAAGATCCCCTTTTCTGCCCTTCTTACAACAGCACTTGAAAAAGCTCCCTCTCTCTGTCTGGGGTGCCCTCCACCCTTTTCAACTCAATCTCAATGTCCAAACTGCACCTAAGATTTCCCTGAGCTATTCAGGACATGAGTCCATTTTCCCAAGACGTGTCCTTCCATAGTCCCCACTCACGGCACACTCTGCCTCCTGCTATACAGGAGTCACGAATCCACGGAGAGTCAGTACTGTCCAGTCACTGCAAGAGACTGTACTTTCCTGACCTTCCCTCAATTAATACCCAGAGCAGTTGAACAAGGTGGGCACAACTCTGATTTCTGTCTTACAGACTAGGAAACAGCTTCTAAGAGAGCATGATGTGTGGAAATAGCAGAGCTATGAACCGAGATTCATGATCCCAGCTGGCTCCAGCTCACTGCCCAGTCCCGAAGAAGGTACCACAATGTCTGAAGTGCCCCTTCCAGCTCTGCCCAGGATGGCAGGATGGTTCCATGTGGATACTTAGTCCTTGAACTGTGGCTAGCATCACTCAGGAACTGGATTTTACATTTACGTTAACTGATTTAAAATTAACTTGTCACACATGGTGGCGAGGGACCCCATATCCGCCAGCCTGGCTCTAATCTGCTCTACCACACCGGGGGCGACAGGTATTTGCACTTGGCTCACATCTCCCAATTTAGACTGAGCTCTGAGAAGACTGTGTTTTGGGTTCTCCTTTGTAGCTCACAGTCAGCACCGACTAAATATTTCTGTAATGACTCCACTCGCCTGTGGGGCCCGTGATGGCTTGAGGTCACCAAGCTGCTGTGTGACCGTGAAAATTCCTGTTATCTGCCAGGGGCCTCAGGGGCCTGGCCAAGGTAATGGGGAAGGGGGGACGCATTCCGCTTTCTCCACTGGGCATCACCTGCCCACGAGGGCTTACCTGTGTGGCGAGTCGGGGTCGAAGCAGGTCTTAGTGACATCGGTGATGTCGGGGTCACAGCACTCCCCGCCGTCGAAGTTGAAGCGCTCGTAGTTGCAGTCCATGTCGCACAGCCCATTCTGCTGCTTCTTGGTGAAGGCGGGGTGGCGCAGGTGGCGGCAGTCACCACCGTCGTGGCCGGTCAGCGTGTGGTTGCACTCAGGGTCACAGTTCTCGTCCCCGATCTTGCTGATGTCGCAGTTGGCCAGGATGAGGCGGCGGCGCAGTGAGGAGTTGCTCACCTCCAGCACCTCCAGCTCCCAGGAGATGTTGTAGTGCTTGAAGGCCTCGGCCAGCTGCCGGTGCTGGAAGTCGATCTGCTGGCGGCTGACCGTGGGCTGCTCGCGGCCGTCATCCTGCAGGTTGACCACGCGGTAGCGCACCACCTTGGGCCGGCGGAAGCGCGGCAGTTGGTTGTAGCTGGCGATGACCTCGGGGTTGTCGCACAGCGTCTGCCCGCACAGCGGGGGCTCCAAGCTCGTGTCCAGCAGGAAGCCGTGGGCGCCGCTGAGGTCCACCTGGGGCATGTTGCCATCCTTCATGGGAGACCAGGCCCGCTTCAGGTTGTCCCAGTTCTCCTGGAGGAGGAGCTGAGGTAGAGGGGGGTGGAGGTCGTGGACGGCCATGTCCTGGAGGACCTCCCGCTGCGTCCTGGCCACCTTCCACAGACTGAAGCGCTCGATGTAGCCCCGGTAGTTGTGGTTCAGCGCGCTGCCCCCCAACATGAGCACTTTACACTTCTGGGTCAGTGGGCTGAACAGGCCACCCACCTGGTCCCCAGAGGTTGCCACCTGGGCGCCGTTCACATAGAGCTTCATCAGCCGCCCATCATAGGTGGCGGCAAGGTGGACCCACTGGCCTGGGAGGTAGCTGCGGTGGGCATTGATAGTGGTCACTTGCCGGGCCCGGTCTGTCTTCAAGGAGAAAAAGTAGCGTGGGTCTCTGTTGCCTTGGTCACTGACGGTGTGAATGCCCACGACCCATCCTCGGTCACGCGAGGTATAAGAACATTTGTCATACAGCCCTAAGTGGCCCCAAAAGAGAAAGAGGAATAAATAAAGGATGGAAGGGGGGTTATTTCTCTCTGATAAAATTTCCACCAGGATGTGCTAGATCACTGGCTTTCACAGTGATCAGCGGGGTCCTGGCAGGTCCTAGTGGTGCCTCTGGGACCACCCCAAGGACCAAGGGCAAGCAAGCGCTCGTGGCACTGAGGGGGCACTGAGTTGGGGTGAGGAGATTCTCACCAACACTGTCACCCAAGCATTGGACTTTTTCTGGTTTTGAATACGGAGCACACAGACCACTTTTTGTTTACAGAGTGAATACTTGAGCTAAAGAGAACCAAGACATGGACCAAAATAATAATGACAATCTACAGACCATAGATTTGTGCAAAGCTCTTGGGGGGAGAGAGGGGGAAGAGAGGAACTTCTAATTAAGAGAGTATCTTCTAATTAAGAGAGTATCTTAAGTGTAGGCCAGTGTAAGAGGTGAGAGAAAAAATAAAGGAGATGATAACAAAAACAAAGTGTCGGTTTGGAAGGATGGTCCTCACTAGAGTCACTCTATCTCAGACAGCGTCAGTGGTAAGCAGTCACCAGATGATCAGGAGCGGTGGATGTTGAGGAAAGAAGCAGGGATTGAGGGCTGCAAAGTCAGTGCTTCTATCTTTATTATTTAAAAGATTTATTTTTATTTTTATACAAGAGCTGGGGTACAGGACAGAGGCGCGGGAGGGTGAGAGGATTCACCAGAGACAGAGTGGGGAGCAGAACAGGCAGATGGCCTGAAATACACTGCTGAGGGTTGCAGCAGGCATGACAGGAGAGGTCTGTTGTGCCATGTGGGTGTCTCCCTGGCCGGCCGGGAATCGAACCTGTGCTGCAGAGGCTGTGGACAGCTTCACAGCACTGCGCTCAACCTGCTGCACCACCAGGGAGGCCCAAGTGCTTCTATCTTTTGCGGGAGTCCTGCCTAACCCTGACACTGATCCCCAAGAAAGGCAGACCCCTTAATACCTGAGCTGGGGACTGAGGGGTGAGGGGGCTGAGACCCAGGCAACAGAGGATTACGTCAAGTTACATAGTGTCATTGACAAGTTTCTTGAGACCCAGACCCAATTCAGCTCCCTTTTCTGGAACACTAATGCCATATTTTTTTTTTTTTTTTTTTTTTAGCTATTATTTCTTTTTTTTTTAAAGATTTATTTATTTATTTATACAAGCACTGCGTACAGTCAGAAGCACGGGAGGGTGAGAGAATTCACCAGAGCCAGAGCGGGGAGCAGAGCAGGCAGAAGGACCGAAGTACACTGCTGAGGGGAGCAGCGGGCGGCAGGAGAGGTCTGCGCGCCATGTGGGACTCTCACCGGTGGCCGGGGATCAAACCGGCGCTGCAGAGGCTGCGGGCAGCTTCGCAGCCCAGAGCTCAACCGCTGCGCCACCAGGGAGACCCCTACTAATGCCATATTTTTTAAAGTGAATACCCTCTTAACATAAAAAGGTGTTGGGGACTCCTACATGATAGCAAATAACAAGTAAAACCCACTGATAGCAAATTAGAAGTAAAATCCACTGAGACTCTATGGCAGGTCAGGCACAGTATGAAGGTCAGTCGAGGCATTAATTCACATAACCCACGTAACACCCCCAAGGTAGTGATCTCAAGTTTCTCATTTAACAAAGGAGAAAATGGAAATGAAAGGCAGTAAAGAGGTGGGTTTAAGGTCAGGTAGTGGATACATGAACTCCAGAGCCATCAGCCCCTGGGGTCCACTGTCCTGTGCACTAACTGTACAACCTCCCCCTCTCTCATCAATGGCCCCAGGGGTGTGGATCACATCATGGGCCTGGGGTGGGGGTGCTACTAAACTTTCATTGGGTGTCTGGGAAAGTTTCAAGCCAGACTCTGGGAACCCCAGTAAGTCGCTTAACAGATTCTCTCTGGATCTAATTATCTAACCAACCCCCATTTCCCAGCCTTTCTGGAATATACCCAGTGTCCTTGGCACAGACAAAGGTGTTGGATGGGGAAGAGGACTTTCTAATTAAGAGAGTAATTTCAGTGTCTGATGATGTATGAGGCCAGGTGGGAGGAGAAAGAGAAGGATAGGAGAATGAATAAAAGATACTCATTTAGAAGGACAGCAAGCCCCTACTTTCAGCTGGAGAATTGTTGCGGTCACCATAACTTTGTGCATCTGCCATCAATGCTCATCAAAATGAGCATGGGAAGCTTTGAGCAAAATCAATAGAGGAGGCCCACAGTTTTTCCTCCTTTATGGCCACTGGGGCCTTAGAATTTGTGTGAATATCTGTTAGCAGCCAACATGGCTGGCAGTTTTGGCTGGACATCTAAGCCCACCTATACCGCTCCCCTGCTTAATGCCCAGCAGTTCTTCAAGTAAAGGCCAGAGTCTGCTCACGAAGTCAACCTGCTCTCTAAGCCCAGGCAGCCTTGGCCAAGCACCCAAGCCTCCTCTGGAGCGTGGGTCTCCATCTTGTAACAGAGGGAATGAATGAATGTCTCCAGCACATGATCAGTCCAAGTCTGCTTTTCTATGATTCCACATTTCTCAGTGGCTAACACAGAAACCATCTCTTCCAAGAAGCTTTCCCTGATAGCCCTAAAAGGAATGGTCATGTTCCCCTGTAAGCACATTTTACTTTCAGGAAACTGGACACTTGCTCTTGGTTTTGGAGTTCTCCTTACAAAGGATGCTTCTTGAGGGTGAGACTCTCCTGATTGTCCTGGACCCAGCACCTTGCACCAGGCCACGCCTGCAGCAGACGCTCAGTAAGCATCACGTGAATTGTTCTAAATAGGATTGGAGAAGAGAGACTTTGACCGAACCAAGGGCACTGATTTTTGTCTCTGAGGCTACAGAACTGGGAGACTCAGAAGACAGATTGTGTTCTTGGTAAGAAAGAAAGGGCAGGTTTTTTGGGCTCCACTCAGGGTACTGTGCTTTGAATTGCAGTGACAGCCACCACTAGTCATATATCTGGGGCAAAATCACTTCACCTCTGTGGATCTTCCTCATCTGTATCTTGCTGGAAGTAGGCCACCATATATAAAAGGCAGTGGGTATACATGCTAGCCTTGGCCTGCAGCACTGTCCAAATAGGGGTTCATTTTTAAGATGCTGGAGGGTCCAGGAGTGACATCAAGGATGAAAATAGGAAGTAACTGGAACAAAAGATCTCAGAGAGAAAGTACCCTGAAGGTATCTTGCCTGATGTCCCTAGTTGATAAAGAAGAAGGCTCAAAACTGTACAAGTCCTCAAATCCACTGGCAAACCCTACTTAGAAATCATGAATCCCTGCTGGCTTAGCAGCTGATTGGAGGCTGTCGGAAGCTACCTCGCCACAGACCCCTCCAAAGCAAGACCTCTGACTCCCAATTTGGAAGGAATTGCCCCACATCTCTCTGTTGCCACTGGCAATGGGAATCAATGAGTGCAGAGGTTTCCGGGGTCCCCGACCTGGTGCACGCCCCCCTCCCGACCCCCCAGCCAACTCTCAGCTCTACTTCTCTTCCTCTCCTAGACCAACCTCCTCCTTCTTAAACAGAAAAATCTTCTAATGAGAAAATTAACATCTGAAACAGTATCCTTTTTCCTTCTCTCTATTGCCCCCCTCCCTCCCTGCAGGTTTTTATTTTGCTAGCGGCTCTCTTAGTCCCTGGTTTTCCTGTTGCCTTTGGAAGGCAGCTAGCAGGGTTAGCAAGGTAAAATGTTTACACATCTGTAGGGTGCCCTCAGTTCAGAACCTTCCTGGGGCTGGGGACCCGGCTCAGGCCACCCCTGTTTGCAGTTGAGAGGGAAGAGGGAAACAGTGAGAAAAGTCAGACTCTGTGACACAGCGCAAAGGACAGAAGAGGTGGCTTAGCCACAGGAGGCAGAGAGGAAGGGCAAAGAGAAGGCTCTCGGTGGAACCAGGAGGAAACATATTAAGGGAAATGAGAACCTTGAAGCAGTGGCTTCAGAAGTTCAGAAGGAAATATTTACCTGGAGTGTGAGTGGCCAAAGGAAATCACTGGACTTCAATAGGGGTTGGGGTGGTTGGGTGGGTGGGCATAGTGATGATTTATTTCTGTATGAAAATACCTTAATCCATAGTAGTCTTAGTCATATCTCAGGAGACTAGAAGGGAAGACCTGTCGTATCACCAGCCTAGAACCTGAGATCTGGGATCAACTTGCTGGGTGACCGTGGCTAGGGCAAGCCACACCACCCCGAATACTGCTTAGCCTCATTTCCCTTCTCTCTCAAAGGAGGGGTGCTGATGAAATGATCACCCACTACAATTTCAGAGCTCTTTTGTTCACTGTTAGAATGGTTCCTTGTAAGTAGGAGTTGCTCAAAAGTATGTGTTGGTGTGACTGGGCTGCCACGTCATTCCCAGTGTTTACATGCCGGGGCCCCTCTCCTGTGTGTACCCACACTGGACATGAGCAGATCCTCTCATCGCCATCTGTGTGGTCCTGGAGGTGAGTCCCAGAGGAGGTATCCCCTCGCAGCAGGATGGAAGGCACAGGCGCAGGCCAGCCTGCAATCTACACCTGATTGGCATAAGCCTGCCTCCTGGCTACAGGCACAAGGAACCCAGCAGTAGAAGTGAGGAGAGTCCATCACAGGCCAGTGAGGAAGTGGCTGTGGCACAGATGGAGTCATCGAGGCCCAGACCAGGTAAAGGACTTGCCCTGGGCCTCATGGGTGACTGCTGGACATGCAAACCCTGTGCAGGGCCCTCCAATTATGTCCAAACTTCTTGCAACTAGGCTTGCTATGGAAAGGACTTCATACCACCTCCCCCCAAAAAAACTTGAAGCTAATCTATTTTCATAAAGGAACCTTCTTAAACTATTGGTGGGGATGTAGACTCATCCATCCCCTCTGGAAAGCACTGAGGAGGATCCTCAAATCACTAAAAATGGATCTGCCATATGACCCAGCGTTTCCACGCCTAGCCAGGAAACACAAACGCACAAATTTGAAAGGAAACCTGCACTATGTTTAT